CGGTGTTACTTGCAAAAGGAACAAAGAGACCAAGATGTTTCTCGTCAACCAAATAATCTATTAAAAACTCATCCAGTTTTGGGGTCCAATGTAGGTCGTACAAATAGTCGGCCTGCACTACACCAAAACTGGGAGCCATCGCAATTTTAGATCTTTCGAATAAAATTAAAATTATTTTGACAAATAAGTGTTTGTGTTGATAGTTCTACGAATGTGTTTGTGTTGAGTGTATTGGGGTGCTTAAATAGACATGAGTATGCAACAATAATGCACAATATAAGAAAAGGCACAAGATATGGTCTTCCATGCCATCAAATGGAATCCATTCAACTTTGCAGGAAAAGCTAAAAGATACCTATAGGCATGCATTGAAAGGTCATATCATGTACCTTTGAGTAGTCATTCAATGCATATGGTTTGAACACAAATAATTGCTTCCAACAGTTGCCTCACATATTAAAATACATCAGATAACAAGATAACAATAATTGAGTTTGATAGGCATGCTTGTACATAGTCAGCACTAAAAAACAAAAATACAAATATGTTTGATCCATCAAGAAGCTGCCATATAATAGGTGATATGTAAAAGCCATCAGTTTACAGAAGGTGGTTTTTTTCCTTTTAGGCTATCAACATCTGCCTCAACATTCATAACGCGATTGGAATCACGTTCCACATCTGGGTGGACCGTCTCCCTATCTACCTTACCAAAAATTAGCTGCAGTTTCGACCATTGCGGGTCTCCCATTTCTTGGTACGCTAGGCTGATAGGGTGATCCTGTAAAATAAGTAATGTCAATTACACAATTACATAAAGAAAGTGTAAATGTAAGAATACTTTGGAATGTGAGCACGATACGTACAGTAAAGACCCTCTGCCATGCTTCTTTTGGTCCCCACATGAGCCCACTCGCACAGCAGTAGTTGATACCATAACTTGTAATCATCTCCCTCATCACCCTATGCCGTATCCTAAATTCCTGAAACCTATCCTCACATTCTAATGAAGTATATAGCTTATCGAACTTCTTGGTCAACATATCCGCGCTTAATGTAAACAATGTGTTCTGGACTTTTTGATTGCCTTCGAGTAACAATGGCAAATGTGGTTGTGCTGATACCAAGAAGCATGCGAATGACTCGTCAACCTCAACTGTCCATTTTTGGGTAAACAAATATTGTCTTTGCTCGGGCGGGAGGTGGTTCTCCATAGCTATTTCATGTATCGTAAATTCGACAAACTATCAATATGCTTTAAAATATTCCACAATGTGTTTTTAAGAAAAAAATCTAAAAATGTTTAATATGTTAGAGATTCAACATAGTTAACACACCAGAAAAATCTTCAATAACTACTTATATCACAACTGCAGTCCTTTAGAACAAACTTCAGGCCCTCAGAACAAACAACCTGAGGCCCTCGCAACAAACTGCAAACAAGGATCCCATTTTTCAATATGCTAAACACATAAGTAAGGAGCCCATGGTCTACAACATGAGTAAGGATAAGTAGACAAACAAACAAAGAAGCAAAGACTTTATACAATCTGCAACACATGCCTTATAATCAGATTTAGTATGTGCAGAATTGTGGATTCAAAGATATTACGCACAAGAAGAGAGCAGAATGGATACACAACAACAAACAAGCAAAACACATTTGTTAACACTAACACATGCATTTACTAGGGCATATAAAATAACCACGAACTTGATAAAATCAAAGTTATTGACTTTTGTAATTCAACTTGAAAACATAGAAATAATCAGGTAAACTCTTATGAGTGTACATATGAACAAGAAAGTAGCAGTGATTGGTCCATGAAATTCTCAAAATTTATTTGTCTACACCCTCATTACATCTTAATTTTCCATCACATAATAGTGCATTTATAACTATCACAAAAAAGATCATTATCCCTCATAATTAAATTAACGAGCCAAGCACAAGTTTACTTTGTTCAAGTAGACAAAGAACAAGGAAGAGGAACCTCGATTGAAGACTACCGTGTCGATGTATGCGAAACTGCCTTGGGGGATCTCGGATGTTGGAAGTGATAACAGATACGCACAACAATTTGTTCAACCTTGTTGCCACACTCAACCACAATAACCTAATCCAAAATTAATCCCGTTTTCTAGAAAGGGATGCACGAGAAAGAAAAAATTTACTACGATTCGAATGTATCGAAGATATAACCCATTTACATGGATATCGAGATGTACCTCATGAAATAATCATGCTTTCGTCCTCCACGGTTGTTGCAGTGTCGTGTCTTCAAATCAACGGCCTTTGGATCGACATAATCGCAGGAGTCGTAGGTTAGGGTTCTTTAGAATTCTGTCGAGCATCGAAATGAATTGGGAAAATCTGAGAAAATGAGGGAGAAGGGTAAAATGGTAATCATGCGTTTGTATCAACTTTTTGCTTTTAAAAACACAAAAATTTTATCTTTACTGGTAAACAGGGGATAATATCAGACGAATATACCATCATGCATGGTAAACATGGGATGCAATCTGACGTGGCATTTTCAAGGGATTAAGTTATTTAATCCCAACCTTGCTAGTAAACGAGGCCTTTATGTACACTTTTATTTTTTCAATCACATTAACACAATTAAAAAAAAAAGGGTAAACATTCTTGTATATTTCAACAAATTAGTCTATTCATTTACCTTTATGATAAATTCATTTTTTTTTTCTTTTTACTTTTCTATCATCATTCATTATATATATTTTTTTTTCTATTTTTATTATCACTTTTCACACACACACACACATGTATATATATATATACACATACATACACATTATTTAATTCTTATACATATATAGTTTTTTTGGTTCTCCGTGATGGACATGCAAGTATATATGAGCCTTTTTTAGTTCAACCTATAAATATGAATTTTTGTATTACTTAGAAATATAACTCTTTCAATAAAGATCATAATTTCGAAAATGAGACAACCAATACAACCCCATTGAACATATATGATACAACCATGAATGAATAGAAATATTTAACTTTACATGCATAGTCAAATCAAATATAAACCAAGTCGTAAACTACCAAACAACTAAACAACATAAAACTAAAGTAATAAATTGAAGTTAGACTGAACTAACGTTAGACGATCATATTTTGTTTAACAGATATGCATATTTTCAAATTGAAACGTCATAATATAATAATCAATATACAATAATTCGTCCAAAATGTGGTATATGATTAGCTGTTATAGGGATTTTAAGAATGTATTAAAATAATATTTAAAAATAAAATGATTAAAATTGTTTTGATGTAAAAGTAGGAAATAAATAATTGGAAATGATCGACAATGATAGGTAGTTAAAATTATGTAAGTGAATGAATAGTGAATTAAAGTTGATGTGATGTGTATAATAGTTTGTATTATTTAATTATTGAATAATGAATAATGTTAAAGATAGTGGAGATGAGTTAAAGTTGAGTTAAATTTTGAGTGTGAAATAAACGTGAGTGAAATGATTGATAAACAAGCATGCCCAAGATTTCATAAGTGAGTGAAATGATTGATAAACAAGCATGCCCAAGATTTCATAGCATAAATATACATTTTGATTGAAAGAGTCTCACGAGCGTACCTACCATAGCGATTACGTCACCTCACACAAGGAATTAGGCACGGAGCTACATGGGGCCCAGGGGGGTCCCAGGGCCCCCCTCATTTAAATATATATATATATATATATATATATATATATATATATATATATAATATGTATAGAAATATAAAAATATTTACTATATATTAATAATTGAACTTATTAAAAATATGTATAGACATGTAAAAAATATTTACAATATAGTACTAATTAATACTTATTTCATATGCTATTTTCATTTAAATTATTAATATTATTTATTTATTGAAAAATATAATAACAATCCTTATATTTTAAATTTTTAGATAAACTTTTAAAAATATTTATAATGATTTACTCTTTTGGTTTCTTAATTGTACATCAATTTAGTGATTTATAAAATTGAGTATTTATTGATTGGATTGTTACATTTTTTAATGTTGATTTTTTACTCTTTTTTTTTTTTGTGTAATCATATATTTTAAATTTTATTTATTTTTCTTATAAAAAAATATTTATTTGATAAACTTTCATAAACAAAAATGCTATGGAATGTAGTTTAAAAATTTAATTTGAATCAAAATTTCAACTCAAAAATTTATTTCTTTCAGTTGATTTTAAATATAAATACATGATTTTTTTTTTTCTCTTTTAAGTTTGAGATTGATACTATTTCTACGTTTTTAAAAACTTGATGGTACACGTATCAATATTTATAATTATAATAAATATGTTTTTATATGAAATGAGTGTTCCTAACAAACCGATTTTGCTATGAAGTCAACAGTTGGCTTCATAGTGGAGTCAACCTTCTATATACAACAAGTAAACCTACCATATTCTTTGATTACTTAAATAACAATAATATAATTTTATTAAAATAGTAAGTTTATTTGTTGTATATAGAAGGTTGGCTCCACTATGGAGCCAACTGTTTGATTCATAGCAAAATCGTAAACAAAAAACCGGTTATTTAACATTTAAAGTCGGACACCCCTGAATGAAATTTCTAGATCCGTCGCTGCAAGAATCATAATTTGTAAAAAAAAAATAATGTAGAAACTTTTAAAGAACCACAGACCAAATACAAGCTATGTCTGCCTCCTTTGCATACCAAAATACAACACAACCCTCGTAAACCAAAATTCTTGCAAAGAACAAGGCTATATATATATATATATGTAACAAAAAATAACCTAAAACGACACAGCATGCACGACTTTCTTTCTGAGTTTTTCACAAAAGCTCCGCATCTCCCTATGCATGGAAGCCCAGCCCGAACTACCCGACCCGGCCCAAGAATTCACATCGTCGTCATCTTCGTCGTGATTTTTCTTGGGAATTGCTAAGGGAGTGAGCCTCTTTGAGATCTTTTGGTCGTACAAACGGATTTCTTGGACCACCCTTGGATCAATATTATCCATTATTATTTTTGTTGGCAATTTTTTTTGTGAATTAAAGAGATGAATTATATTGTGTTATGTACTTGTTGTTTATAATTGTGTATGCAGTAGTTTTATAATTATTATTAATATTTATATTTATGTATTTTGGGGTTTCCTTGTCCATGTGTGATTTGAGGGCGCGAGGTGCTTGGAACACTAGAAGTCTACTTAAAATCGGAATAATTTCATTAATAATAGTAGCGAATTTATATATTTTTTATATTAATATTTTCATACGTATATAAAACTATATGAATAAAAATTTGATATGACACGTTACAACAAAAGTAAATATTTCAATTAATATATACTATAATTATCTAACTATTAACCAACATAAAAAAATTTAAGGTCAATTTAATCGCTCTTGTTTGGTAAAAAACGTGTGTGAACTAGAATTTAATCGGTCAAGCCACTAATTTTTAATACTATTAGGTAAAGAACGGTAATTTGAGATAACGGCTTGGATCTAAAAATTTAATTTAAAAGAGAAATCAATATATTGGCCTTTTTTTCAAATAAATGATTGATATTTTTAGCTAACATCTAACTATTGGGAAATGTTAAGGTTCCATTACGAAATTATTTCGTCGTGGTTTGTAACCGTTAGATCAACTTAGACAATTGATGATTTAACCGTTACAAACCCAAATAAATTGTTCCGTAATGCGACTGTAAAATCTCCCTTATTTATTTAGCAAGAAATTTACATAACCAACTAATTCATATGCTAGATAATTTACTAATTATTGATCAACTATCTCATTCCCCCGCCCCGACTTCACTAGCTGATTCTCGCGCGTCAATCCCAAACGCTGCCTTGACACGTCATTCCCTTCCGATTAAGAAGCGCACTTTTCCCCCTTCACCGCCGCGTCCACCGCCGTGTGCTCGATGGCTATTTGCCGGAGGACCAAATGCGGCATCTTCTTCAGCAGGCACCCAGCTCCAGAGCAGCCGCCGTCGCCCGGCGGCGGCGTCGGAAACCTCACGCTCCACCCTAGCCTCACCGCCGCCCGACTAACTATCACCGAAGTCCTTGCCCGGACCTCACCACCACTTAATGCCCCGCACGCTCCGGAAAACAGCCGGTCCCAACCCATCTCCTCCCCCAAAACGACAGCGTTTTGGATCCTCGGAAACTCGGATCTACATGCAGATAAATCGATAATCGGTCTCTTCACTGACCTCCGGACGTAAAAATCTCCAGATCTGGACTTGAAGTGAAGCAGAAATTCGGGGCTTCCGCCGCCGACGGAGCTGAATTCCGCCGTCACGGAACCGAGTATCCCGGTGCCGGTCTTCAGGGACATGCCGAACGTGCGGTGGGGGTCGTTCGGCCTATAACTGAACTTAAGCATCGAACCCAACCGAGCCCGCCGTTGAAGCTGATGCAAAGCTCGTCGCGGTCACCGGCGGCGACCGAGGCGGTGGAGAAGGGGAGGCCGAAGATGGTTAGCGGGATTTTGGCTTTGATAATTGGGGGTTTCGGGTCCTCCCTGAGCGTGAGCGAGGCCTTCATGATCTTGATGGGTTTCTTTTTCTCGAGCTAATTGCAGGCGAGCTTTAATGGAGGTGTGCCCTCTGTGCTTGTGACCTGTGATTGGTAGCTGAGATTGAGCTTTCATGGAACGTGTTCATTTTATCATCTCATATACTATGAAAATGTTGTTGGGAGATTTTTTTTTTTTTTTTTTTACAGGGACCTTCTGGTTTCCGGATCCACAGGGGAACCGACTAATCCAGAATCGAGCCGGGTAGGATCACAAGGGTGGCAAAGCTCTCCCTCAAGAGTTTTAACACTGCTGCATTCCCAGGGCTCGAACACGAGACCACTGGTTAAGCTGGAAGAGACCCAAGCCATCTCATCCAAGCGCTCTTGGGTTTGATGAAAGTTTTGATATATGACAAAAAAAGCACTCTCCAAATAACCATAAATATATATATAAAAAAAAATGAATAACCGATTTTTTGGCCATTGAAATGCACGGTTCAGCACGATTTTTTGGTTTTGACTCGATTTTTTTACATTTATATCCAATTTGATGTTCTTCGGTGCAAATCATATGGATCGGAAAAAGAAAGGGTTTGTAAACTAAAATATAAACGAACCGCACTAAATTGCATGATTAGTTTCTCAGTTTTTTTAATTAATTTGATGTTGTTCAGTGTAAAATAATATCGAATACAATAAATTGAAAATCGAACTGTACTATATTAAAAAAAATCAAAACACAATGCAAAAAACTGCACGGTTTGATTTGGTTTTTCAATTTGATTTTGCTCCCCTGATGGTTCGGTTTGTAGACATTTAACAAGACAACAATATAGATACAAATCTTTTTTAAAAAGTCTAAAACATTTTCAACTCAACCATTCTTTTTTAATTCAATTTTAACTTAACTTCACTACTATCAATATTATCAATATAATAAAATAATACATATCAATCATTCATTTTACTCATAACATTTTTAATTTATTATTCATCTATTTATAAAATTTTAACTCACTATGATTTCAAATCATTTCTCTCATACTTTTATATTAAATTAACTTTAATTAATTTTTAATATTATTTTAATGTAATTACTAACAATTAATAATAATATTTTTTAAAACTAACCAAACAAACCAAAAAATTCAGATAAATCCGATATATAAAATTTTTTATATCAAGCATCCCGTAAGGTTTGAATAGTGCTGCACAAAAGTCTCGTCTATGACAAATGCACGTGATCAGATTGCAAATAAAATGTCTAAATTATTTTTGAGCTAAATTTTGATTTGTCTATCGATTGTATGAATTTTATGTTGATTTATTAATTCTGTCGCGTAATTTGAGGGTTTTCATTCTTCCTTTCTTTTTTTTCTTTTTTAAACAAAAACACAGGTTACTTCACAATTTGGCAAAAGTTTAATAATAGGAAAATGATTCGGTCAGTTACCATTCAATCGGGTTTGTAATCATTAGATTAACTATTTTCACGATTATATTATGATTTAACAGTTACAAATTCTGACGGAATAGTTACATAACGGGATTGTAGCATCTCCAAAAAAAAATCACTTTTTTTTTTTTTTGGTACATGGACCTTCCGGTTTCCGGATCCACATGGAAACCGACTAATCCGGAATCGAGCCGGGTAGGACCACAAGGGCGGCAAAGCTCTCCCTCAAGAGTTTTAACACTGCTGCATTCCCAGGGCTCGAACACGAGACTACTGGTTAAACTGGAAGAGATCCAACCCATCTCATCCAAGCGCTCTTGGGTAAAACATCACTTTTTTTTAATAAATATACTTCTTATATTGAAATGCCTTTTTTTTTTTTTTCTTCCCTATATTGAAATGCAATATAAATATTTTTGTGTATTTAAAAGGAGCCGCACCTAAAAAGCTAAAAAAATTCAAACAAAAAGCACCTAGCTCAGTTCAAAAATCTGAAACCCGCGCCACCACCCCTCCGCCCCGCCGCCGATCATGTGCCCCTCCACCCCTCCACCGCCGGACGCCTCTAGCGCCGTCGCATATGCAGCGTCGAGGCCGGTCCTCCAGAACCCCTCCCCACTGCCGCCTCCACCAAACCCACACCCCTTCTATTCACCGCCTCCTTCCAGGCTCTCTTCCAATCCCAACCCTAATTGCCCCCAATTGGCCCCTCAGCCCCCTCACCCTCACGACCCTCCTCACTTTATGTTCCCCCTTGCAACCTCCGGTCGAAAGTTTGTATCCAGGCCTCTGCCCCTGCCGGCTGCCGGATCCTCTCCGAGGCCGCCGCCGTTTGTTCTCCCATATTTTGAACCGGGTCAGGGCAACCCTGGTTTCCTCAGGCCGAACCACTTGCCTCACGTGATATTCGGGTCCGGGCCGGGTTCCGCCAGTAATGCTTCTGGTGTAATTAAAGGGATTCCAGTGTCCCCCTTGCACCACCCAAAGGTAATCTTTCTTTTTTCCTCTTATGAATCTTTCCTTTATTTTGTTTCTTGTTCAGAGATGAATTTCGATGAACTAGTTTTGGGTCGTGGGATTGTTTGTTTTGTTGAATTAAGCAAGTATTAAGTAGCTTTTATCTTTCTTGAATCCATGCATTTAGAAAAGAACTTATGTGGACTAGTTAGATAACATATTACATATGTTTAACAGTCAATTTTAACATAAATTGTTTGAGAGTCTTCAATGGGCTTATTTTCTCACTGAGCATAAATTCCCTTTCGCTCGATTTCTCATGGTAATGTTGGAATACTATTTAGGCCGGTCCACCTTCTACTTCAATCTCCGATAACAGTTTAAGGTAAAACTTTTGTTTGACATTTCTGTTCTCTCTTAGTTTTGGATACTAACCGCTTTTTTTTTTTCTTTTTATTATTATATTACAATGCTGACTATGATACAAGATTGACAAAGTTCGTATTCTGTTTGCAGGGATAGAAATAGGGATGATACTCTTGCAGTTGTCAAGGATAGGAAGGTAATTATTATGGTTTATGTTCGTCTTACAGGAAGGTTTGGTCAAATGACATATCTATATCGAGAGGCACAATAACATGTCAAAATCATCACTAAACGAAGATATTGTATTATTTATTTCATTTTTATTTTTTACATGTATTTCGGCGATATCTGTAATTTGTCATTATTTCATAGTATTCATGTTGGTGAGGCCATCTTCCTTATGTTGCAGGTCCGGATTACTGATAATGCATCACTTTATGCCCTCTGTAGGTCATGGTTGAGGAATGGATTTCCTGAAGAATTTCAAGTATGGTTTTGAAAACTTTGGAACTTTTGAATTAGTATTTCTCACAAAGGGTAAAACTTGGTGAGATGACAATTATTTGATTTGAGTATGCTGTCCTTTTGTCCTAGCAGAGTGAATCCCTATGTTTACCAAGTAAAATTTATGTGGGAGACCCTTTTTCAAATTTCAGTTATCCCCCGCCCTTGTGCCTTTAAATTATTACCACGGCAAGCTAAAGTTGTGTGAATTTTGATAATGCATTATACAGGAATTTGCATCTATCTGTTTCCAGATATTGCATTATATCTGTTCAGATATTTATGGCTTGATTGTTTATGGAATAATTTGTTCAAAATGAGTTATTTTGGTTAAAACTATAGTTAATTTTGAAAAAGGTGTATAGTCAGTTGTTTTTAAGAATGTATTAAAATAATATTTAAAATAAAATGATTAAAATTGATTTGATATAAAAGTAAGAGATAAATGATTGGAAATGATTGGAAATGATAGGTAGTTAAAATTATGTGAGTCATCATACTTTTGACTCCTTAACTATCTTTCTTGAATGAATACAGTTTGACCACTCATGCGACCGTTAATGAGATTTGAAAAATAGCAAAACTTTGTAAGACTAGACTCTTTCTGGCCATTGTATCTTGGAGTTGGTGGTTTTAAGTGTCCCTTCAATTGAGCGAAGGATTTTGAAGCAAAGTCAACTTTTAAAAAAGGAGTATAGTTAAGGACATGTTAAATAGGCAAACAGAAAAAAAAAGAACTATAAATTTGAAACAGTGGAAGCATGGAAATCGTTTCATTTCGCAGAATTGTGGTATATTTTCTGTGAAAGTGATTAGTATAATATGTGCTGAAATTGGAAGAGATATGCATATCCACTGTTAGTTCGCTGTTTACTATTCTCTCTTATTGTCTGGCAGTACGCTTTTTTGCTGTCTATTTTACTCTTTGCAAGATGTTAAAGTAGATCTTTTGAGTATTTTGATCATTGGCCGATTGAAGTCTACCTTCTTATCCAATATTCTTCATCTCAGAAGCCAACATACCTGGATACTGTCAAATCTCTTCCCAGACCTTTGCCTTTAGCTGCACAGGTTGTTGATTCGCCAGATAAAGTAGAACACAAAGAAGACGAAGGCGAGGTTGGCAACTGTAAATACATCTCTCAAAATGATTTTTCTTTTTTCTGTTTTCTTTTTTCTTGGAGCCACAGTTACAGTTTTATTAAATTCAGGATAATAAAATATATGCAAGATTTTTTTTTTTTTTTTTTTTTTTTTTTTTTTTTTTTTTATTTTTGGTGAAGTGAAGCTCTCCGATTCTTGTGATCTGATTGTGATACTTGGCAAGTTCAAGATATTTTCATATATGAACGTGGTGTATATTTGTGATAGAGCTCTTGTCAGTTTCGATTGCTTCTTAACCTGTTTTTGTATGATAGAGCGGAATAAGTACATTGGCTTGTCATTTAATTTCAGGAAGAAGGCTCTCTTGAAAATTTGTCTGAAAAGGAGCTTTTGCAGAGACATATCAAACATGCCAAGAAGGTTCGTTCACGGTAAGTTGCTAACTCTTTCAGAATATCATATGTGGTTGTGTCATTTCTATTTCGTTTGTTCCTTCTCCCCCCATTTTTTGGCATTCGGAACCTGAGTGGCTGTTTTATTCATTACTTCTGATAATTTGCCCATATGCAAGGCTTAGTATGTGTATTTGGCTATTTGCACAGGAATTGACTGATTAATTTTCCTGCTAACTCTATAGCTTTGATAGTGAGCAAACAGTTATTTCAGTTATCCGAATGAAGAGAACCAAGTCCCGGTTACTCCAGTCGCTATTCATGTCGTTCTTATTGATTGGATTTTTTGTGACAGTTTTTGACATTGTTGGCTGCAATTTCGTAGGCTAAGAGAAGTACGGCTTCAACGAATTACAAGATTCAAAACCCGACTCGCTCTTCTGTTGCCCCCGATGGTCGAACAGCAATTTAAGACCGAACCAGCCGAAGCAAACTGAATACCCTCGGTCTTCTTGCTTCCTATTGGTCCATAATTATCACCCTCAATTTGCATAACAATATATATTATACATTGTGTTACCTACAATTTAAAAATAAAAGGGTGAAGCTACAAGAGTTAGTTTGCTCCGGACTGTAGCCGTGCCCATCATGAGTTCTCCAGTTTGTCTTTTCGATAAGTCGCACGATTAGCCCCTACAATTGAGCTTCCAGAGGTGGCTTTAGGGAATCGAACCTCGAATCGACGGAATTAGGGGAAATGAACGAAGGGGTTATGTGTAATCGGGAGACATTTGGGGATCTGAGATTCAGTATTGAAAGGGATAGTGTTGCATGTGCATGAAAGAAGGTTAAGAACGTGTCGTGAACCTGGGAAAAGTGAAGGGATTGTTTCTCCTAAACAGTGATTCTCCATTGGCACTCGAGCAGGTCAGTGTACAAGCTTTGCTATTTGGATAATTCTTGAAAAGAGACTATGAAAATTAGTTGATGATAAATGTGAAATTATATGTTATCATTAATCCAGTTATATATTATAACTAGGGTTGGTATTGGTTCGTTAACCGAACCGATAAGATCAAACCGATGCCGAACCGGTTATTTGGGTAACAACAAAATATGAAACCATTATCGAACCGATTGTAATCGGTAACCGAATGTTTGGTTACGGAAAACTCGGTTCGGTAACGGTTTCTTACCGAAAAATCGAAAAACCGAAATTCACCGATAATAATGCAACTTGATTAAGTACCACATTCATCTAACACGTTTCAACATGATTAAAGTCCAATAACCCAATGATAACAACATTCCAGCGTTCATCCATCAATAATACCAACAACATTCATTCACCACATTCACCTTATTTTTAAAACCCTTTATGGTTTGGGAACCGATACCAAATTGATAACAAATCGGTAACGGATATAAATGAGTCGGTACGGTTTGGTTTATTCTCTCTTCAGTTCGATTCGGTTTTCAGTTTTCGGTCAAAAATGCTAGCCCTACTTATAATTTAATTATTTTCCTGTCGCCTAAAACACAAAATATATATTTTTTTTATACTGGAAAACATTTTGTATCGAGTACCATTAGCAATTTCAACTCCACTTAATTCTCATTTGTTTAAATCCCATGAACACAACCTCGTCATTGTAAACAACAATGAATTAGCATAAGATAAAAGTGATAATTACTAGGGCTGAGCATGGGATTCGGAGAATTCCGAACCGTAAAATCGAACCGAAATCACTCCGAATCGAAAAATAACCGTTGACCATTTGACTTTCTCCGAACCGAACCGAACCTAAAAATCAATTGGTACGATTCTGGAGATTTTACAAATATCCCTACCGAGAACCGAACCGAAACCGTCTCGTACTGTATTGAACAGAAGAACCGAAATTAAGAACTAAATTATAACATTAGATGCATTATTAATATATTTTATGTCAATTTTGATTCTATATAATATAGTAATAAATATCAACCTTCATTTAAATTTCATGTTTCGTAATACTTGATCTACAATTGAATTTTTTCTATTACAAAATAATCATTTAAAATAATATGAAACTTTAATGAATATTTTTTTAAGAAAAAAATATTATATTTTATTTGAATTTTAAATTTTCAATATTAGTTGCACAAATTTAGTTATAATTAAAATTTAGAGTTACTTATAAATTTGATTTCAAAATAAAATCTTTAATATGAGGAAGTACTGATGAATGTTAGTTTATTAAAGCATATAAAAATTAAAAAACTATTATTTAGAGTTACTTTTAGATTTTTTTTTTTAAAAAAATCTTCAATATAAATGAATTGTTGATGAATGTTGTTTTTTTTAAAGCATATAAAAATCAAAATATAACTAGGTAGTCATTCAAAAATAATATATATAAAAAAAAAACTCCGAAGATCCGAATCAAACCATACCGAACCGAACCGTCCCAAATATCCCGAATACCGAACCGAACTGAACCGAAAAATAAGAATCTCCGAACCGGACCGAACCAACTTTTTGGTACGGTGCCGGAGATCAAATTTTTGGGATCTCCGAAGTTTGGTACGGTTCTCGAAATTTATCAATCTCCGAACCGTACCGACCCACGCTCACCCTAATAATTAGCTCTCAAACAGCTAAATCAACTCCTGACTACATGGAGTTTCGAGTCCTCAGATCATCCATACACTCGCGCAATACAAACTAACTAGTACAACACCCGTGTATTACACGGGTGCTTGTTAAAAAATTATTATTAAATTTTAAAATTAATGAGAAAACTATATTATATTTCGTTTACTTTTTTACAAAAAAAAATATATTACTATATATTTTAGAATGATATGTGTTATTTATGACTTACATGTGTTATATTATATTAGTTGTTATAACTTATATCATATAACTACTTGAAAGATAAATATATTAGTTGATAAATAATTTTATTTTTCTAATTAATATTAAAAATAATTTTATTATTGTTATAAAGATAAATATAAATTATTTTTTTTATACATACAATATGGATGTTAAATCGAAACTCATCAAAAGAAGATTAATTTGATATATTACATATGTAAAAATGATAAAAAATACAAAAGTTATTAACTTTCAAAACATATATACAATTCAATAGATATAATAAGGAATGATATTAAAATACAATTAATACATGTAATATGACCATAAATAATCAACATATTTATGGTAATCTGAACCTAATTATATTTAGATTGGAATTAAATTAAAATTTTTCCAAGTCTAATAACGAAGCATGTAATTTTACCACAGTACGTTCTGTATTAATATATAGGGGATGTTAGATCCAACGGCTCAAAAGCCTTTCTTTGTTTCTTGAAATGTAAGAGCCCATCTAGTGATGTTGATCCAATTACTATTGACTCAAAAGTCAAAACCCAATATGGGGAATTTCACATTCCCAAGTGAAGTCAACACCCTCCTCCTCCTCCCAAGTGAAGTCAACTCAACCCATCTAGTTAGTTTTGACTTTTGACAAATTCAACTTTATCAAGCATCTCACAGCTAGTCACACACCCAAAACCATTACACTTGCACATTATTAACAATTCTTTAAAACCCAACTAGCTCACAACCTGTTTGACAAAATGCCTCTATATACATATCCCTTCTATCACCATCATACATAACACACCCATCACACTCCCAAACAAATTAACAACACAAACAAACTAACACAAGAAAAAAAAAAAAAAAAATGGAGTTCAAGCATTTCAGCCACCCCCACAACCTCTCCCTCCACCACGGGCCCGAGACCCGCTGCTCGGGCTGCAAATCGGCCCGTCCAGGCCCTTTCTACGCCTGCTTTCAATGCAACTACTTCCTCGACGAGCACTGCTTTCGGGCCGCCCGGGCCCTCAACCACCCGGCCCACCCGACCCACCCGTTGACCCTCGTCTCATCCCCCACTTACCAGTCGGCCTCTTTCTTCTGCAACGACTGCAGCCTTCTCGGCACCGGGTTTTGCTACGCCTGCTCAGATTGCGACTTTGACGTGCACGTACATTGTGCTCACAAGGCAGCCGGCATGCCTAACCCGTGTGGGCCCCACGTCACGAGTGTTGTTGTTGTCTCGGGCTCGTCTGGGCCTAATGATCATCATCATCATCGGCCGGTTCAATATAATCCGGTTTATCCTCCTCCGGTTAATCGGGACTATTTGTTTCCGAATTAAATCAAGGGCCTTTCTTGATATAATAAGAAGGGTTCTTGCATGGTTTAGGTTTGTGATTGGTTATAGCTTAAAATCTTTTGTGATTGTTGTGCTTCAAAATGGTGATCGCTTGTTGTGTGTTGCAGTTCATTTTTATCAGTTTGTGTGTGTGTGTGTGTGTGTGTGTGTGTGTCTTAAATCAAGTTCATTTTGGACATTGATATGCTTCTTGATTAAATTTGTGATGGTTTTAGCTTAAAATCTTGAGCTTGTCTTTTGTGATTGTTGTGCTTCCAATGGTGATCACTTGTTGTGTTGTTGTTTATTTTACCAGTTGATTTTTCTGTCTTAACATGGGGGTATGAATTTTAACATGGGGCTATGGAGCAATCGGATGGCTCGGCTTATGGAGCAATCCACACTTATTCACCAATAGTGTATTGACACGTGTTTTACAATAAATACAATTTAGACAGGTGTCAATATATTAAGCAATGGATGACTCCATAAGAAAACAATCCGATTGCTCCATAGAATTTTTGTCAGTGAAGAATATGAATTACAAAATAAAACATTAGTGCATTTATGATATATACTAAATAATAATCACATAATTTTATTTATAGTCTAGTGATGCTAATGCCAAGTGGGTCATTTTTATTTTGTGGGTCAAAATCCTTAACTGGCAAATTTGATTTCACGTGGAAGTTTTTTTGGAAAAAGTCAAAGTCAATGGGTAGAGATACATTACGGAACCATTCCGTCGGGGTATGTAACCGTTAGATCAATTATTCACAACGGTTACGTAATGATCTAACGATTATAAATCCCGATGGAATGATTCTGTAACTGGATTGTAGCATTTCACTATACTTTAATTTAATAATTAATACCTTATGCATCAAAACCACTCTTCTCTATTGATTTAAGGGGATGTATTTGTGTGGAATTTAATAAGAGTTGCACATCTAATTTAAAATTTTCATCAAATTAAGCTAGTCAGCATAGTTTTCAATTTTCCTTTTGCTTGGTAATTAGATATATAAGTATCTACATATCTAAATGAATATCTAATTAAAATAAGTCCAAGGGATGTAGAATTAAATATATGAACATTTACAATTTTAATGATTTATTAGGATTGCGAGATTTTATTTATTCATGTGAAGTTCATAGGATTTGTTAGAAACCAACAAATAACCACTTGGGTAATATTTGAGATCTTTTAGACTTTTTAAATGGGGAGAAATTTAAAGAAAAAATAAAAATAAAGAATCAAACATAAATTAACAGAGAATAGGATGAATTTTGTTTGTTAAATTTAGTGATTTGAAACTTAGTTAGATTGATGGATCAATTTTGCTAGCATGTTAGTGAATTTATTTGATTGACTTTTGAAACTATGTTATAAAAGATCTGAAAAAGAGTGTTTTAGGTAGAGAAATTAAAAAGAAAAATACAATAGCTATAAATTTCACTATCTACCAAATACTTTTTTTTTTTAAAAAAAAAAAATAATTATTAAACTACCAACCAGTTATTTAACAAATAGTTGAATCCATTTTTTTTTAAATCAACTAATACAACCAACTATTGTTATACACTAATACACTAACTTTTTTTTTTTTTTACACATACAAGAGGATTAATACTGGTTCCCCAATTCCCCTCCTAGTGACTCGAACTCGGGATATGGGATACGCCGAGCGAGGTATGCACCACTGCGCTAAACCCTCTTCGTCACAATAATACACTAACTTATCATACTAACTCGGACTAATACCAAAAATTTTATGGAGTCATCGATCACTTCATGTATTGACACATGTCCAAAATGTATTTATTGTAGGACACGTGTCAATACACTATTTGTGAATAACTGTGGATGACTCCATAAGTCGAGTCATCCGATGGCTCCATAACAAAACAACACTAATACAATTTACTATTTAATATGAACTAATACACTCATCACTCAATGCTAATAGTACAAAACCATTACATAATTGTTTTACATGTATTCTTCAACAACATAATTAACAATCCAAGTAAAACATGTCAACAATTTTACGAGCATTCGAACAACTCTAACCATCTTGTAAAAAGTAAAAACAATAATAATAATTAAAAAAAAAAAAAAGTCCCTCGAGAAAGAAACAAAATAATAACTACTAACAATACCCGTATGAACAGAACAGTCCCTCAACAAGTGACAAGATATTAATAACTTCAAACAATTGCTAAATAGCATGGTTGATAAAGAACTATACTCAACTGTATATATAAGTATTTTTATCTTTAAAGTTATTGCAAATTAAAATAAATGTAAAATCTCAAAAAATTTGAAAAGATATGAATGACTTGTGATTTTGTGAACTTTAAAAAAATAAAAAATGAATACCTTGCCATTTTTAGAGACTTTTAAAAAAATATTTGGAAATCATAATTTAATGTCTCAAGATTTCTAAAATTTTAAAATGTCAAATTTAAGTACATTAAAATTTAATGTATATATATATATATACTAATACAATGCCCGTGTATTACACGGGTGCTTGCTAAATTTTTTTCTTAAGATTTAAAATTAATGAGAAAAAGTAGTTTAAAATTTAAATACTTTTTATACAAAAATACATATTATTATATATTTTAGTATGACACTTGTTACTTGTACGACTTACATGTGTTTTATTATAATAATTTTTCTAACTTATAACCTATAAATACATTATACATAAATATATTGACTGAAAAATAATTTTATTTTTCTAATTAATTTTAGTAAATTTTTTATTATTATAATAATAAATATAATTTATTTATTTTATATATACAATATGGATATCAAATTGAAATTTATCAAAAGATGATTAATTTGATATATTATATGTAAAACCGATAAGAAATACTGAATTTATCAACTTTTAAAATACATTTACAAATATTTTTCTAATTAATTTTAGTAAATTTTTTATTATTATAATAATAAATATAATTTATTTATTTTATATATACAATATGGATATCAAATTGAAATTTATCAAAAGATGATTAATTTGATATATTATATGTAAAACCGATAAGAAATACTAAATTTATCAACTTTTAAAATACATTTACAAATATTTTTCTAATTAATTTTAGTAATTTTTGTATTATTATAATAATAAATATAATTTATTTATTTTATATATACAATATGGATATCAAATTGAAATTTATCAAAAGATGATTAATTTGATATATTATATGTAAAACCGATAAGAAATACTAAATTTATCAACTTTTAAAATACATTTACAATTCAATAGTTATAATAGGAAATGATATTAAAATACAATTAATACATCTAAAATGATCATAAATAAATCAACATATTTATAGTAATCCGAACCTAATTATTTTTGTATTGGAATTAAATTAAATTGAATAATGCTACATTATCAACCTAGTATACAACTAGGTTGACAACACAAGTGAAGACATTCAAAAAACATAAGAATAAAAAAATACATAAGTGGATGTTTCCACTTGTATGTGTTGTCAACCTAGTTGTACACTAGGTTGGTAATGTAGTATTTTTCATTAAAATTTATCCAAGCCAAATAATAAAACATGAAATTTTGACACCCTAGGATCACGAAGCATGCGAGTCTGCCACTTAGGCTCAGCACATTCGAAAACTATATATAGGGTAGATATATATATATATATATATATATATATATATATATATATATATATTTATATTTCATCATTTTGGAAAATATTAAAATGCAAGATATATCTGATGGTAAGTGAAGTTGACATCTTTTGTTCGTTTTCAATGTTTATATTAACTTAATATTTTTATTTTACATGAAAAAAATCATTAATGAAAAAATATCAGAAATGAACCTTCGTAATGTTCTCTTGCATTTCTTAATAATTATATTTTAATAATTATATTAATACTATATTTTAAAATGGAGTTAGTTGCCACATCACAAGTTCGCACAAAAAAATCCATAAATGTCAAAAATACTATATTTTTATTGAAAATCTATTAATTCCATTTAAAATTATAAGTGCCGTTTTACACTATTTTATTAACTAGTGATCAATCTGTGCATTTGCACGGAGAAAAATACATAAAAAAGATAATAATATAAAAATAAAAAAACAAAAATACGTAACCACTATTCAATTCATAAAAAAAATATGAATTAAGAATATGATTCTAAATTTTATTAAACATATTTGTTTGTATACAACATTCATGGTTTTCATATCGTCAGAATCACCATCACCACATATCATTATCTTCAAACGCTTTCCATTCGTAACTCTAGGAAGAGCAACGTACAACTGTCCATGACTGAAAACAGAGTTGTTCAAGACTAAGCGGACGTGTGAGAAAGATTGGTCTTGACTCTTGTTGATCGTCATAGTATATGAGACCATGATAGAAAATTGTCTGTGTTGAAACGTGAACGGTACCCTCAAACAAATAAAGAATAATAAAATGTGTGCCGAATTTATTATAATTGTCAGCAAATGTAAACATTTGGAACAGATGTGAAAGCACTAAAAAAATAGAAAATAAACAAATAAAGCAATAAAGAAAATAAATAAAAAAATATCATTCTTGAATTTTATAGGGAATAAATGGAAAGTACAATGACAACAAAAACCACGACTCAAGAGGCCAACCGGATAACCAAAAAAAAAAAAGTTCATCAAGATTAGATTTTTTTCAGCTAAGTAGGTAAAGGAAACTAAATTATTTAACCAATATAAATAAGAAAAAAGGGTCATTATATACATTTTTAAACTTTCCGAGTAAATAAGAGATATGGTAATTACAACAAAACCCATAACATATAGGTGGATAATGTAATTTAATGCAGAATAATAAAATTAAATAAAAAAAATGGTAATTGCTTTAGGCGCGAAATGAAAACTAATAATATTAAATGCTGAAACTTTTTGCGGGATAATATAATTAAATGCAGGATAATAAAATTATATGATGTTTGCTCCAAAAATTATATAAATAGATGTAGATATAGTAATCAACTTGTGCAATTGCACAGAGAATAACACTTAAAAAATATAACAATATAAAAAAAAACAAAAATAAATCATAATTTGATTCATGAAAAAAATATGGAATAAGAAAATGATTCTCAAAATTGATTTTGATCAAGTAATTGTTATGGAAGAACCGTTACCATTTTCTTTATGCTAATACATCCGACCATTTTCATGAGCGGGTGTGACTTAAAATTTGCGTTCAATTTTTTTTTTTTTTTTTTTT